TTCTAATTTTCAGAAGAATGATCGAAAGTTTGTCAATTCTTCAAGATCTCATAGTCAAAAACAAAATTCTTCACAACTGAAAAATTCAAAATCTCAATTTTGTCCTAATTCGTTTTATTCAAAAAGTTCAAAAACAAATAACTCATTTTCAAAAAGAAAACAAGTGTTTGTTCACAAGAAATCAAATTTGGATCATGAAACTACTTTGAAAGATTACGAGGCAAAATTGAAAACTCAAGAAAAAGAATTTGTGAAAAAGATGGCACCAAAAATGAAAGAATTGATTCAACGAAAATCTCAGTTTGTTGAAATTAATCTTCGTGACAACAAAACTCAAGTTTTTTAGAAAACACTTGATGTAAACAAAGTTTTAACTATGAAACTCTTTTGGATTAATCAGACTAAGATCTTTCCTATTTTTGTTTCAAAATCGAAATTCTCACAAGGGCCCAAGTTGGTTTGGTTTCCTAAACTTGTGTAATTTTGCAGGTGATGCGTGACGAACAGTATGATTCAGAATGGTACATTGGTAGTGGCTGCTCATGTCACACTACAGGAAGGAAGTCACAATTAAGGGAGTTTCAAAGTCTGAAGGGTGCTGGAAGAGTGAAATATGGAAATAATGCTACTGAGGAAATCAAAGGATATGACATTATTACAAATGGTGAAATCACAATTCATAAGGTTGCTTATGGAGAAGGTTTACAACATAATCTGATAAGTGTTTCTCAACTTGTTGTAGGAAATGGTCTAAAAGTATCTTTTAATAAAGAAAGATCAGAAATTATAAACAAGGATACTCAAATGGTTACTCTTAAGTTAAAGAGGAAAGGTGAAATGTATCCTCTTAACTTGAATCCTATACAAGGGAAACCGTCAATCTGTTTTCTTACGAAAGCATGTTCGGATGAAAGTTGGTTATGGCACAGAGTACTTTTGCATCTCAACTTTAAAGATATCAACAAGCTAGTTCTTGGAGATCTTGTGCGGCGTCTACCACTTCTTAAATATGATAAAGATCATTTGTGTGTAGCTTGTGAAATGGGAAAACAAAGCAAAAAGTCATTCTTCAATCATAAATGCTAAGATGGTTGAACCACTTGAAATGATTCATATTGATTTATGTGGTCCTTCATCAATTGAAAGTATTGGGGGTAGCAAATATATTTTCGTTATTGTTGATGACTTTTCTCGATTTACGTGGATGTTTTTTCTTAAACAAAAATTTGAAACTACACAAAGAATGATTAATTTTGTGAAGCAGATAGAGTTGCAATTGCGAAAGTCAATTCAGAAGATCCGAAATGATAATGGCGCTAAATTCAAAAATCAAGTATTTGAAGAATTATTGACAAACAAGGGAATAAGTCATAACTTTTCATCTCCTTATACACTACAAATGAATGGCGTAGTTGAAAGACGAAACCGTTCACTTTGTGAACCTGCAAGGATGATGTTATCCTTTGCGAATCTTCCTTTATACTTATGGGCTAAAGCAATCAGAATTGCAAGTTTTACACAAAATCGTTCATATATAATAAAATATTTTCTATCGCGCCTTATGAGATTTTATACAATTGGAAGCCTAATGTTAAATTCTTTCATGTTTTTGGTTCCAGATGCTTTATCTTCAATTCCAAAGAACATCAAAACAAGTTTGATGTTAAAGCCGATGAAGGAATATTCTTGGGATATTCTTTAACATCTAAAGCTTTCAGAGTTCTCAACAAGAAATCAAAGAAAATTGAAGAAATCTATATGTTACTTTTGATGAAACTTTGTCAAAAATTCTCAACAAAAGTCGGTTGTTCAAACTGACGAAATCCTTCCATCATCTTGTTCACAATCAATTCCACTCATGACTTTTTATGGGGATTTTCCGGAACTTTTCGATGAACCAGAAAAATCAATTTCTTCATAAGCGAAAGAAAAAGATAATAAAGAAGATGAATTATTAAAGCATGTTGATGAGGCAGTTGAAAATATTGAAACTCATGAAGAAAACCAGTCTTGTACGTTTAAAGGGGAGCATGTGGAAAATTTTGTTTCACCTTCTAATGAAGATGTTATTAATTCAATTTCGAGTTTTGATTCTGATTTAAATAATAATGATCTTGTGCAGGGGGGGGAGCTCGATTCCGAATACAAATTTCCAAGAAGAGAGTTCAATAGCAAATGCAACTGTTCAAGGGGAGAATTTTTCTTTTGATCCTATTGTTCAGGAGGAGCCTCAAGAAAATAATGAAACATATTTGCAGTATGAAGTTGAATAAGTCAATGTTGAAATTGATCATGAATATGATTTGAATTTTCCACCTTTAACAAAATGGACGAGAGACCATCCAAGAATTCAAGTTATAAGAGAAACATTTCAAGGACTTCTTACTCGAGCTCAACTTAAAGCAAAATAATCTCCTTTCATGAAACATTTATAGTTTTTCATGTTTAATTCTTTCATTTCAAAAGTAGAACCTAAAACGGTGAAATTTCTCTTTAAGAAACCAATTTTTTTAAAATTTTTAAACGAATTACAATATGAAGTTGAAGAAGTCGATGCTGAAATTGATCTTGAATATGATTTTCTCTTTTATAAAATTTTCAAAAATCCAAAAAGATTTTCTCTTTTATAAATTTTTCAAAAATCCAACAAGATTTTCTCTTTTGTAAAATTTTCAAGAATCCAAAAAGATTTTCCCTTTTCTAAAATTTTCTTACTTTTAGTATTTTCTTGGAAATTTAATAGTAACACATGTTGTTTTTGTGCATGCAATTTCGGAATTCAAAGGGAAAATGTATTCTTCAATTCTTATTAACTAGATAAGGATCCTTAGAAGTATGTTGTTGTATGTAGTCCGAAGCCTCAAAGGCTATTTGTTTGCAAAAAATCCTTATTGAAAATTTTCTCGTAAAATTTCTTCCCAATAGGTTGTATTGACAAAAGTCATCGAGCTACTTTTCTCTACTTATTTTGGAGTTTAGAGATGATTGTTTGGTCAATATTTTTGCAGAGGTACTTTGTTTCTATAACCAATCTTGGAAACCAATGATGTATTGAGTATATACAAACTCAAACATAGGGTTCCTTTTCTAAACCTTAAGGAATTGACATATTGCTCAACAATAATTTTTGATTAACCCTTGATATTTCGAGTTTGTACCAATTTGGAGTTATGGTTTCTCAAAAAATAAAAAATTATGATCATTCTCACTATCACCATGAGAGTGTGAAAAACTCGTTTCCCTATTCTTATTTTATAATTCTTACATTGAGCACACACAATGACGCATATCCCGAGATATTTCTAGTATAAAACAACTAGAATATAGGTGTGAAACAAATATGTATTTATGATCTTTTTCATCATTATAACTATGATGGAGATTGAGACTTTCAAAAAAAATACCATCACTTCATTCTTATTTTTATTCTTTTGACCATATCTATATCACATTTCACATAACACCCCTAGGTTTCAGATAAAACCAATTTGGAACATATGGTGTTATGAAACTTTGTGCTATGATCGCCTAATATCACCATAGGATAACATGATGCACCAACAACCTTTCCTATTTCCAAAAGCTATTTTCTCTAGCACTTTCACACACTTCACTTGAAATCCTTGAGATCTCAGGTCAAACCAACCTGAACCAAGATTTCACAAAGTCTAGTTAATGATTCTAGTTATTCTTCCCATGACTAGATGAAACTCTTCTTAACTTTGGTTACTGTTCTGAAAGTTCTCTTATGGATACAATCCTGGTGGTAATTCCAATGGATACGGTTTCAGTTCTTTCGAATTGGAGGGCAGATCAGTGATTGTGAATCTGTTTCAAACAGAAATGACATGTTTCATTTAATGAAAATTCAAATCATGGAGCGTATTTTATGTTTCATGTCTTCATTCCAGATAATTGAAAATGGTGTCTAAAGCAGTTATAGAGAATGATGAGTTGGCTTATTCTTTTTGGTTTGATGGGCGTGGGAATTTTTGCTGACGTATGAAGTGATAGGCATTTAATGCGTGAACGACAGTTTTCTCTCTCCACGGTTAAAATTCAAATGTAAACCATTTGGGTATCCAGTACTATATAAAGCTCAAGATTTATCAATTAAATTCTTTACGTTCACAATATATTTCCCAGAAATCCCCAATTCTCTCTACTGTTCATCGATTTTCTTCAAGCTTTCATTTATTACAAATGGCGTCTCCAGAGCAAATCTCTTTCATGGATCAATCTTCATCTACTGCTATGTTGAATATCAAGGTGAGTTAGAACTTAATGGATGATTTGGAAGCATCAAAGTATAACCCTACTATTCGACCCCTTATCGCATGTCTTAATCACTAGCTATTGATGAGTGCTTTGACATTGTTTGAGAATGTTCATGGTTCTCATCTATCCACAACATATTCAACCATAATTTACACTAGTGCTGAAGAAGTGATGAATTTTGAAGTTCACGGTCATCGAACGTCTATATCCAAGGCCAATGTCTGCATTTTTTTTAGGGCTTTCTTCCTCAAATGATGTTATTCATCCAGATGCAGTTGCTATTTCCCGTATCATTGTTGCTTGTCATCGAGTGGGGTATAATTATGATCTTTCTCTTCTATCGAAGTTTAAGAAATCCACTTTACCTCAAATATAGAATGAATTATTGACAATATTATTCAAGTGTTTATCGGAGAGGGTCACTACTTCAGATAGCGCAAACAAGTTTTTTATACTTGATCTATGGTCTTTTTACTAGGGAGAATGTTGACTATGGAACTGTAATTTGGACTCAATTTGCTCAAAGTGTGAGTTCAACCACAAAGGATACTGAAATTTCTTGTGCTCGATTTTGGTCGATTGTTGTTCGACATGCCCTAAATCACTATAAGGTTCCAGAGATGACTGATGATGTGATTACTGATATTCCAAAGATGCAGACTACCACATTTGTGATTTCTGATCCAAAGATTTTCACTTATATTGGTTCTATTCCAGAAGTGATGATGTCTAGGCTTCCTCTTGATAATGTTATTATCAAAGCTTATAGGGAAATCCCTGATTCTGGTGTTTGTGAAATTCCTGCTTCTTTACAAGCAACTCTTGATGTTGTTGATGTTCCGAAAAGAGGAGGAAAGAGAAAAGCAAAAACAACTGGAGGTGTTTCAAAGAAACCAAAGCAACAAAGGAAAACAAAGTCTAAACCAGCTATGTTTGATGAGGCTTCGGAGGATAGAACTCAAAGTGGTTTCCGGGTGATAATGTTCTATTTACTGAAGAAGATATTGCACATACTTCCGATGCTCTACCAAAGACTTCTAAACCGATTGCACCAACAAAAACTCGGAAGGTATCTATTCCACCTTCTTCTTCTATTTTGACTCCACCAGAGTCAGATTTTTTTGAGCAAGTGTTAAATGAGCCATTTATTAATCTTTCTCAAACCCCTACACCACCTCCCCCGAAAACAACTTCTGTTTCGATTCAAACCACTATACCACCTCTTTTGAAATTTGTTTCTGAATCGACTTCCCAAGAACAAACTACTTTACCATTTCAAATTTCGATCTTTACAGATTATATGAAAAATCCTTTTGTGTCTCAAACCTAGAAAACCACATAATCTCCACCAGAAGCTCCAACTTTTGAATCCGATAAGGAGGAGAATAGGACTTCATGTATCCCCGAGAACACATTTGATATGGACTCAAATGTCAAAATTGGTGTGAACACATTGGAGCCTACATCTACTTCTATTCCTCAAACATCTCCATGTTCCGACGACAATTTTCTTATTGGTGATGAACCTGAACTAATTGATGTTTTTTCAATTCCTACTTTCAATTTTCAAGTTGATAGTGATGATGTTGTTGATTTAACTACTCCGATGACTCGGGGTGAATATCGGGAGTTAAACAAAAAGTTGGATAAGATTCTTCTGCATACCAATTCTTTCTCAACAACCAACTGGAAAAATATGGTTACATCTCATAAAGCAGCTATAGAGATGTTAACTTCATCCAATGCAAACACTTTTGATGCTCAAAAGAAGTTAGTTGCAGATTCCGGTAAGAACATTGCAGAGGAAAGTAAGAAGGTTGATAAGGTTGTTTCGGATGTAAAGGAAATGTCTTCAACATAACTAAGTTCATGTCTGATTTTCAAACTTCTTTTAATAAGAATATGTCTGATGTAAAAAAGGTGATTGAAGGATTTCATCAATCTCTTCAAACTGAGAAGGAAGAACTTTCAAGTTTACGCTTTGGTCTTCAAAAAGATAATTCAGATCATCACACAACTGTTCTAATTCCATTTTATATTTGGAAACTCATCTTACACATGAGAAAAAGATATGGATGCACTTGCTGAGTCTACTCAAAAGGTGAAAGTTCTCAAATAACAGTTGAAGAATGCGTCTATTGAGCTAGGGAAGATGAGTTAAGAACTTATTGTGGTAAAGGGACATAATGTTGAGATTAATCAGCGTCTTAGTCGTATTGTTGAAAACAAGGATGCTCTTGATGCTGATTACATTTTGCAACTTATAGATGCGAAGTTAAAACCTATTCTCTCCAAACCTAATGATATTTCGAGTGTTACGAGTAATAGGTCTAGTACACAACAAAGGGGAGATAGAGAAGCAAATGTTGGTCAAGCATCTTCATAAGAAGTTCTAGAGGTCAATCTTAAAAATCAATATTAGACGGTAAATGAAAAAGAATGCTAATGCCTAAAAGATTGTTTTGGAAAAGAAAACCATGGAAGATAGGTTGAAAAACCTTAAATAAATGAAGTCTGGACGGAACGGTAATGTAGCTTCCGGATCAGGAAAAGGAAAAGTCAATATCATTTTGGAAGAAGATGTTGATCTTAATCCGAACTTATCTAAAACTGAATTGAAGGAATGAGAAAAGCATAATGAGGAACTTGATGCTTTGAATGCATTAAAAGAAAAGTTTGATGCCGAAGAAGCTGAAGAGAATTTTTTTGAAGAAATTTTTTCTTCTAAGAAGGATATGCTTCGAGAATGGATTGTTGATCGAATTAAAAAAGGCCATTGATAATCCAAATTTGTTTTGGTTGGAGCATCAGACTCCATTTTCTGTTGAGAATGAAATTGTAACATCCGGATTTTTAGGTATGTTATTTTTAATTATTTATTTTTGAGGATCATTGATCTACTCGACGAGTTGGTGCTATAACTCGTCGAGTAGAAGCAGGGTGGCCACGTGAGTTTAATGAACTACTCGACGAGTCCAATAGTAGACTCGCCGAGTAGGCGCTGTAAGTCGAAACCCTAGATCCCTGGGTTTGGGACCTATTTAAAGGCACTTATAGCCTCATTTGCAGCCACACCTCACTGAGAAGGAACCCTAATCTCCCCTTGAGCTTGTGAGAGAGTCTTGAGCCTTACTTGAGATTTGTGAGTGCATTTTGGTGAAGGAAAGGAAGATTCCAAGCTAGGATTGAGAAGAGGCTGATAGATCTACTGCTTATTCGTCCAAGAGCTTCTATTAGAGGTATCAAGTTCGAACCTTTCCTTTTTATTTGAGTAGATCTCTCATCTTGAAGATTAGGGCTTCTTTTCCTTTCATTTTGGGACTTTGAGGATTTGGGGTTCATGAGGAGGCTTGAACTCCAGATCTGGACCTTATGAGGTCTCTAGCACCCAAAGGTTCCCGCTTTATTCAGCCTTGATGGTATTTATGAGTGAAGACCCCATTTAAATCATGTTCTTGGCATTTCATGCCCAAAATGCCATGCATGGACACCAAGTTCAGACCTTTACGTGATTATTGGGTGTTAGAAGGCCAGATCTATAAGTTAGAGAAACAGATCTGACCTCAGAAGGTCAAATGAGTATTGCCATGGAAGAAACTCGTCGAGTCCATGAGCGGACTCGACGAGTCGGATTGTGTTGCACCACGATTCGTGATCAGTGGTAGCCCGTTCAGAGAAAGGTTAACTCGACGAGTCGAGTGAGGCCTTAGGAGGATTCAGAGGACATACATGGACTCGCCGAGTCACCCGAGTGCAATCGACGAGTCTGGTCAAAGTTGGACCGTTGACTGAGGTTGACGTTTAGGGTTTGGTCAACATTTGGACATTGGACCATTAGAGGGGTAAAATGGTCTTTTTACCTTCTGGGAAATTATAGGAAGGGATTAGTCTAGCCTATGAGAATCGTGTTAATAAGAGATAAATTACTTTATGTGATTAGGCGGAGGCTAGATCGGGGATATCGAGCACGAGAGTTTACTAGACATCATACGAGGTGAGTTTTCTCACTATACCTTACCTAGAGTGGTAATTATGTGTGACCGGAAGGTCTTATGTGCTATGACGAGTATGTGATATATGTTTCTATGTGATATGTATGTGTTATGTATGTATTGCGTAAGAATGGTATGGACCGGAAGGTCAGCAGTGTATGGACCGGAAGGTCAATATGGTATAGACCGGAAGGTCGAAAGAGTAGGACCGGAAGGTCTACTCAGATTGTGGGACCGGAAAGCCCCTGAGACACATTAACCGGAAGGTCTCGTAGAGCTACAGCCTCGAGTGGCTTATGTGCTGTATGTAGTATTTTGGGGAACTCACTAAGCATTTATGCTTACCGTGTTATGTGATATGTGTTTCAGGTACTAGGGAGGATCGCAGGAAGGCGCCGGCGTGATCTGTACACACTGATAGAGGATTATGTATTTGAGATTCTGGGATATGTTTTATTATGATGACATTTGATACATGAGATTTTGAGAATATTATATGAGTTTTATTATGTGGAAAAATGAAAAATTGTTTTAAAATTTACGTCGTTACAGAAATGGAATGTCAACTGTACTTTCCGATTATTACAAAAGCATTTCAATTTCGAAGCTTTGAAAGTATTATGAAGGTTCTTATTGCAAATTCTGCCATAAACAAGAAGTTGTTCAATTTTTATGTGAAATACTCAAAGCCACAGTATGAATATTGGAGTTTGAAGAAGATTGTAGGGTTGAAAGTTAGAAAACCTACTGATGCTGATGGTTTCACAAATATCAGTTTTAAAGCCTTCAGAGGTCATAATCACGAAGTCCATGAATTTACCTTGGCATATATTCCTTCTATGAATCCATCTGATTGGATTTCTCTGCTCAACATTATTGCCAAGGACACTTTGAAATATGAACCACTCTATCAACACTTGAAAACACACATGTATTCCTTTCCCCTTTCCGCCGGTACGATGAAGGGTTTTGCAGCAAAAAATAAATGATTGGTTGAGAATGGTTTCTCCATTCTCAACCTTTTTTTATTTCTCAGTTGAACTTACCTATATATATATATATATATATATATATATATATATATATATATATATATATATATATATATATATATATATATATATATATATATATGTGTGTGTGTGTGTGTGTGTGTTCAATAAAACCATTATTAACAAGGAATCAAGGGAACAATCGTGAGTGTCGGAAATCATAATGATCAACGACCAAGAGAATAGATGTACACTTGTACATTGGACGCACATGCATCGAATTATACCAACAGCCCACCTATTTTTCTTTCTTTTAAATTTTTTAGACCATGTTTTTTATCGAAAAAAAACTGAAAATACCGTTGTTCACGATTTTTTGTCATCCTACCGTAGAGATCCATGTTGATATATAAAAAACGAACTTTTTTTCCGATAAAAACCCACTTCGTTTTGTTGTTTTGTTTTTTTTTCAATATTTAGATTTATTTTTATTCAAAAAAAACTAATTATGCCAAAAAAAATTATTTTTTTGTCCTCTATTAATAAACATCAACACCGATTAAAGAAAATAACCTCAATCAGTTCAGATTCAGAGTGTATGAATCTGAACTGTAAATATTGCAATTTTAACATCTACAATGTGGATCTCACTTACTATTTCAACTCTTTGATCATTCACAAATTAATTTAGTGAAATTTACATATGAATCAAAATATATTTCCATGTAACTTTATAATATTTTAATGTTTGATTATTCATAAATTAGTTTTGTGAAATCAACAAATAGATATATTCACATTGTTAATCTGTATATAATTCACAATGTGAATCTAACATACTATTATTCACACTATGAATCTGAGTATATTCACAATGTGAATCTAAGTAGATTCAAAATATGAATCTGAATTGAAAATTTGACTTTTTATATATAAAAAATGAAATTTTATTCACACTATGAATATGAGTAGATTTACAATGTGAATCTAAATTGAAAATTCTTTTTTTTTACATCAATATGAATTTATGTTAAAAGAGTACCAAAAAATATTAATTTCGATATATTTACTAATTTTTTTCGATAAAAAATAGACCTTAAATTTTCAAAAACAAAG